TTGCTCCCACCCACGGTGCTGGGCTCGCTTGGTGGCACGACTGTCAGCGTGATGCATTGCTCTTCGTCTTCGTCGCTGGGCGCAGCGTCTGGCGTCGCGATCTGCATGTATAGCCCCTGTACCTCGGTGTCTTCAGCGCCAGGTACGCGCAGACGCTGGATTGCGTGTAACGAGATGGAGGGGTATGGGATTGAGACGCCTGTTGAGGCGGAGGGTGAGAAGAGTAGAAATTTCCTAGAATTGACCAGCATGTCAGCTTAATCCGGGCACAAAAACAAATTGAAAAGAGCAGAGATAGCCAGCTCAATTCGCACGGTATATAAGAAGACTTACTCGGACGAAACCCAAGCATCCACCCCCTCAATAGCAATGTCTTTTCCCTCGCCCTCATCATGATCTTCCTGTGCCGATCCATTGGCCGAGGCAGCGGCGCTCTCACCGCGCAGCGCATTCAGCGCAGGCGTGGCAAGGAGGTCGCGCTCGAGAATGACAACTTTGCATCGCTGGCTGTGGTAGTGTAGCACTGGCGGGCCGGAGTGGAAGGAGCTCGGCGTTCGCGACTGGTGCTCGGCGAGGGGCACGAAAGAGGATGTGTCTGGAGCGGTGCGCAGGGCTTCCATGATCGGATTGCGGCGGAATTGGTCGGGCCGCTGGAATTTGTTTGTTTGGTTTTTGTGGGAGCTGCGGTTTGTGGTGGTTGAGGCAAGAGATGAAAGGGAAAGGTGCGGTGGATGATTTGGGTGAGTTCGAAGCTGGCGGTGGGGCTTTCCGCTTTGGGCTGGATTTACTGTTGCGGGAAACGGAGAGCTCAATTACAGTAGGTAGTACAGACAGGACAATCTGACATTTAGGTTATCTTGGGCATGTTAAATGCAAGAACGAGATTTTGGAGGTGTCTACAAGGAGTTTTTGTTTGGGTGTTCGGGTGAGAGATGATGTTTCTCCCACGCAAGCTCCCTTTGATGTCGAGGTGTAGTCCACGTAGTACAGACTCAAAATATACAATATCCGATTGTGAAAGATTGAATTGGGACGATATGTATAGCTCATTGACATCAAGTCATAGCTACAGGAGTTGGCATAGGAAAGCTATTTCGGATCGGGGAAAGCGCCCCGGTGATGATCCGAGAGCCTTCACAATAATACAGAGCTAACGAGGGCGCGTTTATCATGTTGTAGTGTTGCCAGAGCATGAGTACCGCCAGACTATGAGCTTGGACAGATAGATAGAGCGCCGTTCCGGGAACATGAAGCGCAGCCCTCTCTGGCGCGTCGTCTAGCAGAGGAGCCCAACTCCGCGAAGTTGCTGACTGACCTCGGCGTCCAGCACATTCGGGTGCCAATTGCCGTTCTGTTTGGGTGTGTTTTCAAAAGGGATTCTTCAATTTGGATGGTGCCATCAGGCATACCATCCAAAGAGCTCGGGCTCATTTCACACCCAGGCCCCCGAATGCCCGATCCAGCTCCTCTCCTTCATCCCTCGGGACCATGGTCGGCAGACTGGATGCACCTTGATCCGCAGGAGTGCTGTCCAGCAAGCTCGGTCCCAGACTACCCTGTGAGCCAGGAGACGTCGTTGTCCTGCTAGGCTGCAGCAGCTTCTCTTCGCGATCTAGCCACCCGGGCGCAACACGCCGCTTCTCTGCCAGCTCTCGTTCCTGGATGGACTCCATCCATGCCTTGATGGCTTCTTTGGCGTCACTGCGGTTCTTCTTCAGGTGCTGTTCGAGAGATTGGCAGGCAGCCATGATCTCGTCCGGGTGCGCTGCGTGTTCGCCACTGGTGGAGATGACATAGCGGGCTTTGGCGTCTGGGTTGTTGGGGTCGACGGTCACTGATGGGGGGAGGGTTGACGAGACGGATTTGTAGGTGTAGGGAAGTGTCACGGAGGTGGGGAGGTTGATGAAGGGGGAGACGGTCAGAGGGACCTGGGCCAGCAGCGGATGAGGACCTGGTTGGTTGGGTCAGTGAGAGTGAAAGGGCACTGACAGAAATCATCGAAAACTCACGGTAGGATTCATACATGGCAGGGGGTGAGTGTGAGAGAGAAAGAAAGAGTTGGGAGTTGGGGTTGGGGTCGGAGTCGAGAGGGTCACGAGGAGAGATGGGGTTCACGTGCTCGGCAGATCTATAAACCAACATTTGATATACAATTTGGGATTCAGATATATTCCTCGACAAGAGGAACCCGAGGTAAAAACAGGGATATATGGTCGATTTTCTTCCTTGGTCTACCGGCTCATGCAAGAGCTTCTGCTTTTTGGACATGAAAGCCCCCATCCTGTGGCGCATCTTGATCAATTATTCCATTGCGTGTCCAGCCTCTGCGACATGACCAGGAAGCCACTACACTCGGTAGTCTTCACATGGTGTGGAGCAATTACTCCTAAAATTTTTACTGAAATGACGAGCTCTTCCTCCTTGTCCTAACAGCAGTTTTGATGGTAACGGATATTTATGGGCTTCTGGCTTGGAGGTGACACGGGCTGTCATATCGACTTCTCAACCCCTGTAGCTCGACTTCGTGGCCTCCAGAGCACTCTCCCAGGGCTCTCCTCTAAGATCCTACCGGCCCTTACCAACCGATAGCCGAGTTGATGCTGTGGTCCGGTACACAGTGATAGAGTTCCATTTACAACAGTTGTCGAGATTTCTTGAATGGGCGAATGATGGTTTTAAGCGGGAATCCAAAACCGTCCCCAAGATGCATTCAACGAAAAGAAGATAGATGAGACACAGGGCTTGATCCAAAATTTGATCACGCAGGCCAAGACATAATGATGTTTGCAGCCTTATTTAGCCTGAACGGCGACCGTTTCTCCTTGCATTGCCGACCATCAAACATTTAGAAGAAAAAAAAAAAAAAAAACAATGGATATCATTGTCTGGATTTAAACTATAACTTGGCTTAGAGGCGGGGGTTTAACATTGCCGACGAGCATGGTAGCAATTACCATGACTAACTAGTGGAACTGTGGCTTACATAGTGCGAGATACGACTCAGACACGGGATGTCCGCAATAATAGTAATAGTAATAATAATAATAATGCGGCCGCTCATGAAAGCTTGACACATATACGATAGTCCAAGGAGACTATTGACCGTTTGAAATTCTGAGTCTTTATTCTCCTTATTTTTCAAGGACGAGGTTAGATGAGCATCGCTGATCCTACTCCAATCATGGCGTTTAGGAAGACTAGACGAATGTGACAAACTTTGCAATTGGAAATTAGCGAGGTTCATCTGGTCGGTCGATGGCCGAGTTTGACAGAGTCGCCGGCGCAAAAGACGGTTTGGACAACGAGGTTCATTGAAAAGTGCTATAATCCGTGGTGGGACCTCGGGAGGCTTGCGTACATAAATCAACAACAAATAAACAAGCGTGGGTATACTGCTTTTCTTGGTAGTTGGGGTCACGCGATCTAATCAGAAAATTAAAGCTGGGTTCAGTTGTGCTTGCCAGGGTGCAAAATCCCCGCAATGGAAAATCCTCCCGATCGCAGCTAGCCAGGCCAGAGGGCGACGGCGTCGGTGCGTAATCATCCTCGCGGTAATCCCCCCGTTGATCTTCCCCCTATTTGTCTGTTCTCCCCGAAAGTTGCGCTACTCGCCTGTGAATCATCTCAGGAGTACCAGATCGTCGACACATGCCAGGACTAATGTGCCGCTTGCTAAGTCCCCGCCGTTGGAATGACAGGAAAGAGGGTCCCGGAGATCCAGGCGGCAGGCGTTCCACCGCATGCTCCGAGGCCGCGTTTTCCCGTTGACAGATGGTGGATGTTCAGGGACTAGGATGCAAGTTTCTCCGGGGTAAACTATGCCAAATTTCATGTCTAAAGGCGATCTTAAGCCACAAATGGCAGGAAATCCGACCAAAAACAGCCGAACAAGTTTGACCCCTGACACCGGTTTCCAAAACATGGCCGCCCGAGAACCCAAATTGAACTTTTTGTGGTGGAGCGAAGCTTATTCTGGTCCAATGGAGTGGTCCACAGATCGAGTTCGGCCGCTGCTAAATAATCCTTTCACGACCCAGAAAACTAGCGCGATCCACACGGCTTCTTCACCTGTGGGCCTTGGCCAACATCGGAAAAGAACTTTTTTCCGAAATGATGCTGGCATGGTCGGCAATCGTGTAGGTGGATGTTGACTCCAACTTTAGCCGACGAACCCTTTGAAGGAAAGGTTCTCGAACTCGAACGAGAATGGCTAGGGGACTTTCAATGGTTTGCTCGTGATGGCTGAAGTTACTCCTAGACTTGGGAGTTGATGTGCAATACTACGAATGAGTGGGCATGTAGTAAAGTTGTACCTACTTTACGCTTTAGGCTGGGAAACTAGTAATTCTAAACTCATTTTCCCCTCTTTGCCTTCTGGTTGAGCTGCGTTCTTTATAGACAGAATTTCCATGATCTACCAGCCTGTTCTCTTAGAAACTTCACAGCATTGACCCCATGTATACCTTTTTGGAGGATGGAAGAGGAAGGTAACTCCTCGTGCCGATGACAAAGATTCCCCGGTGTCCATTTTATTCGTACCAAACCGTTGCCCAGAACTGGACTAGCTCTGTGCAGGAACGGGCCCCCTCGGGTCCGTCCAGACCTTTACCAACCAACGAGATCCCCTAGCTGCGCGGCGTTGAGCGGAGCAGTGGAGCAGCCCTGTGGGTTCTACGTTAACAAAACATCTCCGAGTCCATGTCTGAGCGTGCCTACCATAATTTTAAAGCGTGCACGAGCCTCTCTGAACACTACCGGTTTTCTGTTCCATTAGTTACAGTAGCAACGGACCCAGTAGCCGACACTGACACTTCCCCTTTCGCCACCCGTGATGGAAGATCTTTGCACCCTGACACTAGTGAATTCAGGACGTCTTTCTCCTGTTTAATTTCTTCTCCATTTAAGTACTACTTTATTTCCTTATTCTAGACTTCAAATGAAAAAGGGTGGCCAGGTAGCACGTCCTTTGTTTCATTACACACAGTCGTTCTCCTTTCACCATGTCTCTCTCTCCAAGCCAAAACAGGGCGATTGAAATCACTGAACGAGTCACTTCATCCTTCTCGGTTATCGGTGCTCTTTTCGTCATTGGCACTTATACTGCATCTTCGTCATTTCACAAGCCAATCAATCGCATGGTTTTCTACGCATCATGGGGGAACATCATTGCCAATATCTCTACACTCATCTCCTTATCTGGTATTCAGGCGGGGAGAAATACTGCCTTGTGTCAGACACAAGGGTTCTTGATTCAGATGTGAGTCTGAAGTATCAGGTCGATAATAATTGATATCCATGCTGACGACCACGAAAGGTTTATGCCAGCAGATGCGCTTTGGACGCTTGCAATGGCCTGTAATGTCTGGCTGACCTTTCGCCATAGGTTCTCCGCCAGTCAGCTTCGGAGCCTAGAGGGAAAGTACCTACTTCTTTGCTACGGTATTCCGTTCATTCCGGCTATCGTTTACGCCTTTTTGCACACGGAGGAACGAGGAAAAATTTACGGGCCCGCCACAGTCAGTCCTACCACAAAAACACCCTACGAAAATCGACTTCACCAACTGACAGACTTTTGATTGAAAATAGCTTTGGTGTTGGATCGATGTTAATTGGGATCCGCTTCGAATTGCCACCTTCTACGCACCTGTCTGGTGAGTGAACTCGAAGAATGGAAACCATGGCAGAAGCTCATTCATGCTATAGGTTGATTTTCATTGCCGCGGGCATCATTTACATCTCCATTGGAGCGGAAATCTATCAAAAGCGAAGGCAGCTCCGAAGCATGGTTTCGCAAAGTCAGCCCACTGTCATGAGCATGAAAACTACGGAGGTCCACATCGTCAGCGAGACGGCGGACAAGTTCGGTGGTACCACCCAGTGTCACCCAGAAGATGATAATTTCCAGCAAGGCCGAGGATTTTCCCAATACGCCGCCAACGTTTCATCCGTGGACCACTCGCAAAACAAGACTGCCAATGCCGGGTCAAAGATGTCCAGTACTGATGCAGCCGCATGGGCATATACAAAATGCGCAATGCTTTTCTTCGCTGCGCTGCTCATTACCTGGGTAATTAACGATCCACACCCATCAAAGTCAAGAGACCTAGGCTAAACCCTTTCTATTGCATAGGTCCCCTCGACCATCAACCGAGTTTACACCCTCGTTGCTGCAGGCGATATCAGCTTCGCATTGTGCTACTTTGAGGCACTGGTTCTTCCTCTTCAAGGGTTTTGGAACTGCATCATCTATATCACCACTTCCCTGGGACCCTGTCGAGAGTTGTGGCGGTCAATGATCGGCTCCGAGCCCGCCTCCGATAATATGGTTCTATCTCATGTGAGAAACCGAAAGACTTTCAGCAGGATTGAGGAAGAGTCAGAAAGTACGAGAGAATTAGCTGGTGAACCACAGGCTGCTACAGGACGGCCCAGTTCTTTTTTGTCGTCCTGACTCTTGGATTGCACTTTCATTTAGGCTTGAAAAAAATTCAGAACGACCATGCTATATTATGGTAGATGAACTTGAAAAGTCCCCTGATCCTCTTTGAGCCTTACTCTTTTTACAGTATTTTCAAAGAAACAGTATACAAGAACCGTTAAAGCGACAATAGTAGTATGGTTCACCCAACTATCGAGCGACATGGGGCACTACGTAGGCAGAGAGTCAGGGGTACGCACATATGACCTACCAATTAGGAGGGAAGGGAGGGAAGCGCGACACCCTTACTCCCTTACAATATAAAGATGGTGCCCGATCGCTCACACCGCAATTCCCCACAGCTATCACGACAACTGCCTGTTATGAATGACAATCATTCCAATTAGCAAGGCCGCCTTGATTTCATTCATGGCTTAGTGAGGGAGAAATTCGATCTGCCAGTATGTGTCTCGGGGAGAGAATGAGCGTTGAACTCTGCTGAAGAAGCCTGCTAGGAGAGTATCAAAGTCGAGCCAATCGCCTACGAGCCCGAGTGCCCCTTCAAATACAACAACTTTGTTAATCGCATCACCCTCCTGTCTCCTCTAGTCAAGGACAATGTGGTCTGCCAGAACCAGCCCGGGTGTGTTGCCATTCCCTCCGCCAGCAGCGAACTGATTCTTCGCCTCACCAACTCTGATGCCCTATGCATGAGAGCAGCGAACCGCATTGAAAATGAGGTCGCTATGATAACTCTTGCTGTGGCAGCGCTAGATCCCATCTTTAGGCCACACGTCATGCCTCGCGTCTATAGCTAGGTCGGGAACACGTTGAAGCAGGGGGGCCGGCAGCAGGGTTAGATTCTCTAAGAATTCATATTTAGCACGCCCCTAGACGAAAAACTAGAGGACATACCCCTTCCGCTTGCCATGGTAAGCCCTAAGCACATTGATGACATATTTGAAACATGTAGCCTCGTCTGGGAGCAAAGATATATACCCGTGACTTCTCTGCGGCAAGAACCGCAAAGACTGCAGAAAACCAAAGTGAAACCATAACCGCAAAATTGGGGGATTCAACTTGTTACCCTAGCAATCGATGGGATATCTATATAGCGTGCATTATGGTGCATAGTTAGCGTTCTGAGTCTACTTCCCGAGTTTCCGCACTTGAGAGTATCTAGAGGAGTGGGTCCAAATGTGCAGGTACTTTCAGCGGCTTCCTGGGTACTCACTCTCAACTGTGTTGCCCTGTACGCACGATTTCGCGCATATATCCTTAGGGGGTGGGGTCTAGGTGGAAACGATCCCTCAGCTTCAAGTCTCCCAGTGAAGCGAGTGTGACGACTTACACGTAATGGATACTACATCTCGATGCCATGGTCCTACGAATAGACGCACTCACTGCAATGCACCAATCTATTCGATTTTATTAAATTGAGATCAACTTTATTTTTGAGAGAAAACCTAACTGAGAGATTCCATAGAAAGAACGTCGCTTTAGGCACGCTATCCTTCCGAACTTATATCAATTTCCCCCGACGAGGAAACACAAGGTCTCCCCGTGGGGATCTTGGCTGTGCAATGTTGTAACAATCTATGGATGCATGTGAAGTGCCTGGCCTGGTGTAACGAGTTGTAAAGTTGACTGCTCGTTGATCCCTAAGCTGTCAGTCAACCTTTAAGTTAAAGCCAACTTCAAATTGTCTTCACAAGCCTTCGGTGCATTTGCAACACTCTGATGAAGAACAAACCAACACACGGGGAAAGTCAAAAGTAACCAAAGCTTCCGAGACAATTGTATCTTGAATGTGACATGGAAAGCCAAAATGGCGCAGACTAGACAGCTCTGGCTAATTATAAAGAGGCTGTTGCCATCACTGGCATCAATTGCTGGTTCAGCGCATCTGCCAGAACCCAAGTCGATTAACTGTTGATCAGCACCTTCTCCGCCAAAATGATGAAGTTTGTTACATTCTTCGGCATCCTCCTGGCCGGAGTGCATGCTCAGCAGGCTGCCAATTGCCTTTACCAGTCGCTGAAGTGCGGCTCTGCACTGCTTGCTCCTCCTTACAGTAGGGCATTTTCTATTATTGTTTGATATCATTAACTGACTTCTCTTACAACCCACAGGCTACACGCCTGCCCAGCTGATAGCGGCCGTCAATGACACAGCCTCCATCCCAATCTTGACGACCGCCCAGGTGTCCGCAACCTTATTCCACTGTTATGATATTCTAGGCGATTTAACCGCCAACTCCTACTGCTTCGCCGGCTGCGACACCAAGGCCGGCACGCGCAATGACCAATGTATCATGTAGCGCCCTACGCTGGGTGGTCACCCCGGCGGTTCTCTATATGAATCGCTGGACTGGCTGCTGACCAATGTGGTCATCGCCTGGATGTTGTGGAATTGGTTTTTTGCTCCTCGTGGCACATCCCCCGTTGGGGCTCCCTTTTGAGTCCACCCGCTTTGAGTAAACGGCCCTCTGCGCGCCGTCAATGTCGGTGGAATCAGGAGGTATTCGCTCATTGTTTTATGCTTGTTGGCTTATTTGGCTGTGTTGGCTTTTGGAGGGGGACCTGAAAGAAGAAAAGCAGAGATTTGAGTCCAATGCCTTAGGATATATGAGGTAGTCAATATTGATAAATCTCTATTTGGTGGAATCTTCCTATTTCTTCTTGTTGTAATCGACCGTACGGTATACTCCAGACAGCAATATCATGATATCATCCATTCAATTAAACGAGTAGGGAATCGACTATGCATATACATCTCATCCTTATCATGCGGTATGCCAGATGGACCGGTGATAAAACGTTTCGCACCTCAGCACTAATGTAGAGTCACCGTAGCAGGAGCAGCGATGGGAGCCAATCTCAAGTCACAGTAATGGTTATCGAAGCAGAACGTCTGGCACTGAGTGAAACAGAAGGGCGACACTGGTTTCGTGACGGTTGTAGTGACGGTGACGGTGACTGTCCCATTCGTCGGCGGTGTCATGCTACACTGGTCGTCCATGGTCATATTCGCCGAAGCCAAACACCCAGAGTCGCAGAATGAGTTACCGGTGATGCTGCCCTTGATATCAATGCAGCGATAGAGCACTTGCAGGAGCTGCGTGGAAGTGAGGGGGGAATTGAGAGAGTCTGGTTGGCGGCAGCGACCAGTTCGGGAACGGTATAGCCTGAATGGTAGTCAATTAATTCAGCAGGTCCACGAGCTGAACGACGACAGTTTACCGTCAATAGAGACCAGGGCCGAGCCGCACTTGTAGGACTGGTAAATACATGGAGTGGTAAATGACTCTCCAGTCGAAAAGAGGGCGAGTGCCAACCATAGATACATGGTTTCTTAGGATCAAAGTGTAGGTAGGGTACGTATGGCTCGATATATATTCCTCCGTTAATTGGCGGTCTCACCGAGTGTAACCCCGAGCGGGTAGTAAGTAGTATGATGGCCGAGGTCACCATGACACAAATATAGATAGCTAATAGGATATGGGACATATGGAGAAGCGAGTAAACCGGATCGGATGGATGCTGCCCTATGTCCTGTAGCCCGTGCAGATCTTCCCGCCGCTTGGGGCCTGGGGCTGAGATTTGGTTTGGCCTTTCTCCTGTTTGTTCTTGATTCTCCTCACAACACACTTTGCCCCTCCACGCGACCTTCTTTCTCCTTTGCCTTCCATCGACTTTCTGCATCTCACCCGGGAATTCTCCCCTCCTTCCTCATCTCTCCCTCCCCCCGGGCGATCCATCCTACGCTAAACCTCCCCGGGCCACTGGGTCTCCGCGCGATCTCTCTCGCCCCTCTTCACGACTCCCCATCTCCGATTGCCCTTTTCACAACTTTCCCCTACGCTCATCCATTAACGCCCACCCAACATGGATCGGACCCTCGCACATGCCGTGGCCAACAAGAAGCCGGTCCCAGAGATCGACTTCTCCCTGCACACGATGGAGGATGGCTCCCAGGTGTCGACGCTGGAGCGCGTGGTCAAAGGTAACAAAGCCTGCAGCACCCCTCGGTCGCTTTTGCAAGAAAATCCATCGCTAACGATGTCTGTGCTGCCCAGAGGTCCAAGCTCCCGCTCTAAGCACACCCCCCGACGACATGTTCTGGTCGCCCGATGACCCCTCCAAGCCGAACCTCCAGTACCTGAAACAGCATCTCTATCGCGAAGGCCGTCTCACCGAGGATCAGGCACTATGGATCATTCACGCGGGTACACAGATTCTCAAGTCTGAGCCGAACCTGCTCGAGATGGATGCGCCCATCACCGTCTGTGGCGATGTCCACGGCCAATATTACGACTTGATGAAATTGTTTGAGGTCGGGGGCGACCCGTCGGAAACAAGATACCTGTTCCTGGGCGATTATGTGGACCGTGGGTACTTCAGCATCGAGGTATGTGGTCCCCCCTTTCATCTTATCATCGCTCACAACGTCTAGTGTGTCCTGTATCTCTGGGCGTTGAAGATTTGGTACCCGGATTCGCTGTGGTTGCTCCGGGGTAATCACGAGTGCCGACATCTTACGGACTACTTCACCTTCAAGCTGGAATGCAAGCACAAGTATAGCGAGCGGATTTACGAGGCGTGCATCGAATCTTTCTGTTCCCTGCCGCTGGCGGCGGTCATGAACAAGCAGTTCCTCTGCATCCACGGCGGTCTCAGTCCGGAACTGCACACTTTGGAGGACATCAAGGCGGTATGTAGGCCGCAACGATATGCTGCGTGATTCACACTGACTCCTGCCCTAGATCGATCGCTTCCGAGAACCCCCGACGCATGGGCTCATGTGCGACATTCTCTGGGCAGACCCTCTGGAGGAATTCGGGCAAGAGAAGACGGGTGACTTTTTCATCCATAACAGCGTTCGTGGCTGCTCCTACTTCTTCTCGTATCCGGCCGCCTGTGCGTTTTTGGAAAAGAACAATCTCCTGTCCATCATCCGAGCGCACGAGGCGCAGGACGCCGGGTACCGCATGTACAGAAAGACGCGGACGACCGGCTTCCCTAGCGTGATGACCATCTTCAGTGCTCCCAATTACCTCGACGTGTACAACAACAAGGCGGCCGTTCTCAAGTACGAGAACAACGTGATGAATATTCGGCAATTCAACTGCACCCCGCATCCATACTGGCTACCAAACTTCATGGATGTCTTCACCTGGTCGTTGCCGTTCGTTGGAGAGAAGATCACGGACATGCTCATTGCCATCCTCAACACCTGCTCCAAAGAGGAATTGGAGGACGACACGCCGACGTCCGCATCTCCGCCTGGCCCGGCCGAGCCCGAGCCCATCCCCGAAGCTGGTGTCGATGTTAGCGAATTCAAGCGGCGGGCAATCAAAAACAAGATTCTTGCCATTGGCCGTCTCTCACGGGTCTTCCAAGTGCTGCGTGAGCAGTCTGAGAGTGTGTCGGAACTGAAGACAGCGGCCGGCGGTCGTCTTCCGGCTGGCACTCTCATGCTGGGTGCAGAGGGCATCAAACAGGCCATTACCAACTTCGAGGATGCGCGGATGGTGGATATTGAAAATGAGCGTTTGCCGCCAAGCCAGGAGGAGGTCATTCGCAAGACCGAAGAAGAAAGGCGCGCGGCACTGGAGCGTGCTGAACGCGAGGCCGCGAACGATACTGGACTTGCAACCGTGGCCAGACGAATCAGCATGTAAGTTTTGTCTTCCTCCAAAGTTGAGCCATCTAACCTTTCTATTCAGGACTGCCGGAGCGGGTCGAGGTCGTCGCCCTCGCGATGCCGCCAGGGAGGCCTGAGAGGGCCAGGGCCGTGGGCGGAGTTGACCTTATGACACGATCTATGCACATTTTTTGTCTTTCTTCTTTCCTTCCCTGTCCTCCAGCGCACCCACCTTCTGCCACGTCACGATCGATACGATACCCTATCTATCCTCCATACTTGGCTATGGACCTCGATCTGCCTACATAGCCCACCCAGGGCTGTCCACTGGATGGCTTCCTTAATCATGCGTGTGCCCGCCTTGGAGCAGACTTTTGCTGTAGGCTGGAGTTGGCCGAATCCCATAGACGAGGACTATAAAAAAAAATTTGACTTTCACGACCGCCATCCCGGCTTATTGACCAGTAGTCGAAAGTACTAGCTTTCATAACCACCTTCGTCCACTTCTACTGGTTGTTCATCATTGTTGTAGTTGTAGGTGTTTACAGAAGGATCCATCACCGCCAAGCCTTCCCGCCTCCTGCACTTCCTCTCCCGAGCTTCAACCAGCCTTGTTCCACTCCCTCCCTCTCCCCCAATCAATGCCTCCCCGACTGCGCGGCGTGCTCGCAAAGAGCCTGGCGCGTCCACTAGACAGTGTCGTCTACTGTCCCTCCTGCTCGACATGCAGACGGCTGTCGACGCGTGCCGGCGTCAACCATCACGCCCGCGGTGAAAAGAACACTGCCCATCGCCCATTGAATCCCACTGCAATCCCTACTCCTCGTGCTCTCTCAACATCAACTGTCATCGGTGTAGGCAAGACTGTTCCGCCACGGTTTAAGGAGCTGTACGGTGCGCTGGAGGGGGTGCGAGATGCGGCGATCGAGCAGGTGAGCCTGAGTCGGCTACAGCTTGCGCTGCGCGGGTTGGAGTCTGAGACGCCTCTTATTCGTGTTGCTGGTAAGTATCAAAGGTGGTCTTCTTTTCTTCCTAAGATCAAGACGCTGACTTCTTTTCTGTGTTATCCAGTTCTTGGGCTGGACAATGCGGCTTCAGCACGGAGACTGGTACGATTGCTGCTCGCTGACCCGTTACGACCGCGCGAGAGCTGGGAGGATATCCTCGAGACCTACGACGCTGATACGTCACGGGGACTTTTGATTCGGTATGGGCCTTCTGATATTTGGGTATTAGACATTTTTACTAATGGGTCGGTGGTCCTCGCAGATACGGGGAAGTCTCGGAATCTATCTCGAATGACCTGCTGCCGACGATTGCGATCCCATCACCCATCCTGAAACAAGGCAATTTGGAGATCTTGGTCAGTACGCTCGGCTCTGAAACTGATTTTGCCGGCACCACCCTCACTGCGGATACCTTCCTCGTTCCGACTGTGACCATCCAGACCTCGCATTCTGGTCGGCATAACGTTGTGCGGTACCCTGTGCATCGGAGCATTGTATGTGGTAGCGGAGTGGATGGGCTACTAGCGTACAGTTCTCTGGTCGGCCAGTCAGACCTCAAGAACGAGGTGGCTTCTGTCCGCGGAGCGATCGAGCTCCCCGTGGCAGATAAGAATCCAAGCAGTGACCGGCTTTCATTGGTGGATATCCACCGCGCGAGTGAAGCACTTGATAAGTTCCGCGAGTCTGTGCAGAACGTCTCCGAATACGAACGCGGATGGAATGGTAGTGGCGTGCAAAAGGTGATCGACTGGCTAGCATCCTCGCAGGTCCAAAAGGATGGAGCATTGAATCCGGCTTTGTTGCCCCTCATCGAATCCCTTCTAAACTCGGCCGATGAAGGGGTGCTAGCTCGAGATGAGAACGCTATCAAGCATCAGACCACTGGCGTGGTTTCTGATGCAGTGCGTGCCAACCTGGAGCGCGGCATTGCCGTCTGGGCTGAGCGGGCACATTCAGAACTGCGCAGTTCCCTCGAGGCTGGCTTTGCCAGTCCCCGATGGCGGGGTCTCGCGTGGTGGAAGCTCTTCTGGCGCGTTGATGATGTGAGCATGATCACCTCTGAGATCCTGGAGAAGCGATTCCTCCGCCGTGCCGAACGCGAGGTCATCTGGACTGCGGGTAAATACCACCAGGCAGGTCTACTGGCAGAGCAGCCATCCATTTCGCTCTTAGAGTCTGCACCCTCCGACAATTCCGTTTCTTCCCCCTGGCCGACCCAGATTCCAGACACCCGCTCCAAACTCCTCACAACCACCGTGCCATCCCTCCAAGCCCTAGCACAAAACCTGGTCCTTTTTAGCGTGTCCACGACAACACTAACATCCGCCCTCTCCGCACTAACCTACGTCTCCATTCCCTCCGCCTCCATCTACGAATCCTGCACCTTGGCAGCTGTAGGCCTCATCTACTCGCTACGTCGTCAGCAGAAGAAATGGGACGTGGCACGCGGGTTCTGGGAGGATGAAGTCCGCGAAGAAGGACGGTCATCTCTACGTGAAACGGAGTCGCTGCTGCATGAGGTTGTGAGCGAGGGCGGTAGGGACGTTGAGGATGTTTCTGATCGGAGGGCTCGTGAGATGGTTGATCGAGCTAAGAAGGCGCTAGATGGGCTTAAGACGTGATCTGACGAAGTCTGTTGTATACTTGTACATTATTATCTGGAAGTGCCGTGGGATATAGATGCGGTATGGGGTACTGCCTTAGACAAATCTACTTTGCTTTGTACATTGGGTCCAGCATCTGTCCCAACACTTTATATGACATGGACGCACAACCTAGGTCCATCTTCGCCGTATTTCCACGACAGGCCTGCATATAATACGGCACAATCAATTCTATCAAACAAACCTCCAATAAAGCATCCCGTATTTGTACTTCGCCTGGATCATCTTTCGCTTGGGCCATCGCGCCCACGACTATTCGCTGAAAACTGATAGATACCGCTATAACCTGCCACCTCCTCCTCAAGCCTACGCAACGCAATCTGGCCCAACCTAGCATTTTTGTACAAAACAATTCCAGCCGGATTTTTGATGTCCAATAAAGCACCAAGCGCACCTTCATAGCCAGCATCCACCACCCCGGCTGTGAGTGCAACACCCGATCGCCAGAGAGACGATCTAACAAAGACCTCGCCCATGCAATCTAACGGAATGCGAACGGTCTCGTTGAATTCGACGAGATATGCACCCGTGGACAATTTTATGCTCCCGGTTTCGTTGTCGAAGCACTCCTCAGACGTATCTGCCGCCTGCCGGTGCGAATTGTCAAAGTCAATCGTGGCGTGCGATGTCCAGGCAAAAATGCGATTTAACGAAAGGTCGACTCCGCATGGCTGGAGCTGTTGGGGGATAGATCTCAGGTTGCGCACGATCCCTTGTTTCACTATTGAAGCCCCGCTGAGCATAATGAGATATGACAATCGGTGCTTCTTTTGGAATAGCTTAGGATTAAGATGAAAGGGTGGGTTGTCTAGAACTTAGCATGTGTCTGTCCGTATGGAGTTTAGCAGCTAGTGTATACCTTTTGACCGTTACCGTACGGAGCAAATGGTGGACAGGTTGACAGGACAGGAAGAGGAAAGGGGCTGAGAATTTGGAGCTTACTCGCAAAAGCAAACACACTAACTACATAAGATGGCACGAAGATGACAAAGGTTTTGACTATTGAGCTCTAACTTCGGGAGCACCGAAGTATATAGTCAACAAGGTGAGATGAAGATCGGAAAAAGTTATGTATATGATTCAATCTACTATTATTATTGCGACTAAATGTCTAGTCAAATACAGACATTCGTAAGCTTGTAGCATATTGCACTCTGCTACATTCCCGTTCATATGCCCAGGATTATCTGAAAGCCCCACCAAGATATTCTCGTTTCACGATGCGCCGTCCGCCCAATCGCGGGCGGAGCAGTGGGAAGCCGAGAAGGTGGAGAGACTACTCGTTCGTTTCAACACCTGCGATGCGAGTGGAACTCCTCAGATAGTATTTAGGTTTCATTCGTCTACGAGAAATGTGTTATTTGCATCGACGATATCTGCCACTCCATCTCATTTGATTTCCTGCTTGGCCAAAAGCACGGTGATGATATCGAGGAGGTCAAGGGATTAGTCAAAATCATAGTGGTCACAGGATAAATGGCCCAGGGATCTTTCTGTAATTGTTTTATGTTTGATTTGAGCCTTGCTAGATCTCTGGTCCGGTTATAACCCTTCATTCCGTTCCTTGGTACTTACTTTGATTCATAGGTACAAAACTCCCTTCCAGCCCTACATGTATCAGATACAAAGTGGCTATTATTTTTTACGCCATCCATTTTATTATTTTGCTTCAATTGCTCCTGATCCTCTGAATCAATTTGATCTGTGCTCATCGAGGCGAGTCTCCTATTCAAGTTATACAAAATTGCATTGCATAGTCGCCTAGGCAGTGATAAGTGTTTGTTTGTTTACTTCTACGCCTTGAGGAACGCGGTTCCATGGGATGCTGCATACCTTATGACTTAAAAACCTATTTCTCCCCTCGTGCGATTTGGTGCGGAGGAAAGGGTGGAAACCCGAAGCAAGGGTTCATTCTTTCCTCGGACAGGGCGTATCCCTATCGATCCTGGGGATCTCGAATGAGATTGCTGGATGACGCTTAATTGGCCGCCTGGGAATTCGCCCCTGCGACATTATGTACCTGGGTTCAATTCCCGGGGGTCTTGAATAAAAGGACAACCCCATCGCGTGCCCTTAGACTGACATATCGCACAACCTTCGACCATAAGAGAAATACGTTTTGCTACCACTTCGCCCGCGCCAACACCGGTTGACTCGGTAATATTGGCGAGTCTTTCGGGCAATCATTCCTTCTCATCCAAAACTACGCTCCCTTCTTGCGGTCATTGAGCCCCTGGACGTGGCTCAGCGGATCGCATGATGCACAACACCCGACTAGCGGCTACCTTGCTGGCCTGCCTTACGATCTTTCCCAACTTGACCAATGCTTTCTGGCGTTTGCCATGTCGCGGGCGACTTGGCGTCGCTCGATTGGACCCTTTGATGGACCCAGGAGAGGTCGCATCGCACGCGCATACCATTCACGGCGCTGGAAGTAAGCTGGCGCAACGCCCATTGGAGCTTTGGCTTGCTAACGACAAACAGGCTTTGGTTTGAACTCTGACCAACAGACCTTACAGAAGTCCAGTTGCACATCTTGCGCAGTGATGCAAGATAAGTCGGCTTACTGGACTCCGGCTCTCTACTTTATGCATCCAAACGGCAGTGCCGAATTGGTAGAGGAGGTGGGAGGTATGCTTGCGTAAGTATAGGCTGCTATCGATGTGGAACAAATACTTACAATTTTCTCGGATATCAGCTACTACCTCCTTTACGGAGAGAATGTAACTGCTTTCCCCCAGGGCTTCCGGATGATCGCAGGGGATCCATTCCAACGCAACTTCACCTGGCCAATTCCTGATCCTCCCAAATCCCTATGGAAGGGCGCCCAGGAATCTCAGCGTGCCCTTCGCCAGAAGGCTCTTGGATTCAACTGTTTGAACTATGCCGAGGCGGCGGAGCCGTCCCTGTACCGCCATTTCCTACCGAACAAGACTTATTTGGACGAGCACTGCACTGATGGAATCCGGCTGGAGCTGATGTTCCCATCGTGCTGGAATGGTAAAGATGCCGATTCCCCAGACCACAAATCTCACGTCGCCTATCCCTCACTCGTCATGGATGGAACCTGCCCAGAAGGATATGAGACGCGACTAGTCTCGCTCTTCTACGAGACTATCTGGAATACATATGCCTTCAAAGATAAAGAAGGATTCTTCACTCTCGCTAATGGTGACCCAACTGGATTTGGGTATCACGGCGATTACATGCAGGCTTGGGATGACGGAGTACTCCAGAAGGCCGTCAACACTTGCACAAATGAGACTGGTATGATCACTGATTGCGATATCTTTGATCTGCAGGACGAGGCGGATCAAAACAAATGCCTGCTTGACTTGCCGCCGCAGCTTCAGCACGAGAATGTCCATATGCATGCCCATGGTCTGCCGGGGAATGTGCCTATCGAATGGGGTCCGCGATATGCTATGCCCGCTGGTCCTATGCATGAACACCCAACTACGACTACCAAACTTCTCCCAAGTATCCCCACTATCCCGTCACTGTCGATACCTGATCTGTCAATACCTCCCTTGGACCTCGACCCAAAGCCACTTCTCAACGAGTTGCACGTCAAGAACACCGCCGAAGCCGCTGCAGATCCGACGACCACTGACCGGGCTCCTGCACCTACGGATTCTGTTAAAATTGACCCGGTCATTCAAGAGATCATTTACGTGGAACAGGATATTATAGTCAAGGTCAATGACATGGGTGAACCCTACACTACGAGCACAGGGAAGATACATACCAAATCATCCACAACGACAACAGTTACCAAGGCCACCACTGTGGTCTCTCAGGCTGAAAAGAATGATATGCCAGAGAAACCCGTCAAACATGATCACGCCCGCAGGCATGCACACAATTATAACCACGGCCACCTACGTTACAAGAGAGATTTTTTCTAGACGCAATGGCGTTACTAACAGGAAGGACACCTATGGCAGGAGCTGGCTTTTTCTCTGCTGGACAGTGACTCTGGAATTTTCTTTCGTGTATATACTTGGGATAGGCTGAATGAATATGTCTATCTGAACCTGTGAATTCCCGTATGTGGTTAGGCTTGGAGGATGGAGGATGGAGGAGGGCGTCTGTTTTGGCCGTCAGGATTTTTTACGCCCCCTTTGGGCCCCGATTTGAGTCCTTCTGCTCGTCTTGAGACTATTCAAGAGTCGGCCCTCATTTGCGGTTTACGTTATAAGGGTTTCTCGATCCTCCCAAAATGAGAATAACAGCATGATCGTTAGTCCTCTCCCATCGCAAGACCACCACCACACCTCTAAACTAGCCCTCAGTCAATCCTCAACCCGTTATTTCCATCTCTCCAACATGAAGTTCCAAACCCCCCCAATCGTCTCAATCCTCCTAGCTGCTACAGCCTACGCCGCACCCGCCACCCGCCATCAAACCATCAACCCGGTTGCCAGACTCACCGCAAGAGACTCAATCAACGACTGCGGCGACTCTTCCTTCACCAACGAGTCCACCGGCGGCGGAACTTGGGAAGTCGATGGCCGTACACAGCACCAACTGGTCCAATACGGCACTTGTGGGTTCGACGTCGAGACCAAAGCCAAAGGTTTCAAAATCGGTAACCAGGATATCATTGACTTGATCAATTCTTCTATCGAACAGTTTCAGTGGAATGGTGTGGTAGGTTCCAAGGGCGATATGTCCTGCCAGGACCTCATTTCACATGTATCCGTTTTCTGGGGTCTTTACCACACTTAGGTAGAGAGGGGATAAAACTTTCAAAAAAGATCAAGTAGACTAGGATTGTATGTGAACCTTACGGTTTTGTTGGAAACTAAGGAAAGTGCCATTGTCAATCGATCAATAAATCAATATAGTCGTGTTAGACAGGTGCTGGGAAGTCAAGCGACGACTCACGCTAGGTGTTACGGGTGGAAAGGTGCCTCAAAAGGGACCGTTTTCGGCGTCAATTTCACAGTTCCTCATAGTCTAGTGTAAATATTCTGGTCTTCATCAAATGCTTGAGCAGATAGCTCTGCAATCGAGAGTTACTTCATACAAAACTAGTAAGATATTTACCGTCGGATTGTATTCACGTATCTGCTTCCGGAGAGGGCCGCCTAGTATGTGATCCTCCTTTGTGTGAGTCTATTTGGTTCTATCGGAGATACCCAGCATTTATTAGAGGCGAAATACCTTTGCCTTCTGCTTTTTCTAGAAGTCTCTCCTGACTTTTACTGATAGATAGCCAAACTTTTACAAACAATGGCACATAGAGAGATACGGGGTCTTGTCTAGGCTCATGAAACGTTTTATGCATGCAATAGAAACCTCAAGGGCAGGCACAAGGCAGGGATAAGGAAGGTGATCTGAGACAATTAACACGAGTCATATTGACCAAGTCAATTGTCCTCGAAATGGCTCTCACACAGTTGACAGAATCTCAAGGTAACGTTCCCGATGTCGCGCATGCTTTATCTCCGCGGCACAGCCAGCCAGGGTTGCACATATGCGCCTGCACTACATGCAACGAACTTATCTCGCTCCAATACCATGGTTGAGGAATTTATCTTCATCACTCACAGGTGTCTTAATCCCGACAGCTAGGGATGACACGGGAACGGGAGTTTGGTGGCGTTGCAGAAGTTCTTTCTTGTTAACCTTGTCAGAAACCGCCGCGAAGCAGCAGCCCGTGGATGTATGTGTGCTACATTTTTTTGGGTCATTGCACATACATTGCTAGAGATAGGATTTTTTGTTTGCCGTCCTGTGTGCTGAAAAGGGTTACATGGCTCAACTACCACAAGGTCGTATGGGTCGCATGTGGTATCTTTGTGGTGATTTCTTTATCAGACCGGAGCTACGATATCCCAAGATGGTACTTGTTCGATTTTTGTATGTGTTAAGATTCAGCCTTATTAATCTCAATGAAGAGAAACATACTATATCTCATCGAAAACACATTAAGTCAAGGGCATATCGACCGGCTGAGCATCTAGGACTAGAACAACCATCATTCAACAACTACTTCAGATTGCCCTACCTTCAGCCCAGAGAACTTTACAAAATGAGCCTCTTCAAAATTCTGTGCATCTCCCCATTTTTAATCCTGGCAATATTAGCCATTCCCCAGCCAACCCCCACGCGGGACCAAATGCAACATTCTGCCTCAATGCCAGAGCCAACGACACTGTCAATGGTGACTGAAGAACCAATGCTGCCATGCACCGACGGGTCCACCCTTCTCTACACCATGGACTGTACAATGGGAAACCCAATCTCATACTGCCACAAACCCGAGTCCCCAACTCAGTGCCCGACAGGATTTTTTCCGTCTGTGGGGCACCCAGATCACTGTATAGAGCAGCCAACCTGTGTTCCGATCAATGCGGCGTGGATCACGACTGAGTGTGCGCATGGTGCAATGCCATATACTACGACAACATTGTATCATGGCACGTTGGCAGGTGGAGATTCTGTCCTAATTACTGGTGAGCATGGAAACCTAATAATACCTGAGCAAGGATTCACTGACTGTTGTCTAGCTGTCGACTGCGCCTGCGCCACTGGCCAGTGGTACAGCATGACTCTTCTTCCTGGCTCATCGACCGTCGATACGTTCTGCATGCCCTACGCTTCTTGCCCGCGCGGCATGACTACTTCTGTTCAAACAAATAGCATCTGCGCTACCGCGCCGGCCGGTGTATGTGCGAATGACGCTGAGAAGACGGAGTATTGTGCTTCTGTGAATCCGTCTCAGACCCCTGAGTATCCTGATGACCCGGGTGCTGCTCCGACGGCGTGTGCATGAGTTTATCTATCTTCTACATGAGTTGAACTGCATTCTGATACTGTCAGTCAATCCAATTATTCGGTAGATGCGTTGAATTATTTGGAAATAGTTAAGGAGTCATACAAGAGAATTTAATGGTCAATTCAAACAACCTAAGGCCTTGCAGGTGTCCTCCCCTGTTTATTCTTGCATATCAAATACCCCGCGGTCACAATCAGTCCAAAACTACATTATTGCACCTTCCCAATTCGATATAGAAGGGTCCAGAAACCCTAATCCCTCTTACAAATACATGCACCAATCAGGCTAAATCGTGCTCACCCGGGGTCTCGATCCGGACAAGCCTCGACGGCATTGCGGGACATTCCCCGCACCGGTCCTTGCTTTGGCCATGGGCGGTGGAATGGCTTAAGATGAGCTCCTCCCCTGACTGCTAGCAACGTCAATTCCCCTCACGAGAAAAAAAAAAGTACTCATCATGTCCGACCTCCCTGAAATGCAGTACCGCTTCCTCGGCCGTACAGGTCTGAAGGTCTCGGTGATTTCCCTTGGCGGATGGCTCACCTACGGCGGGCATGTGGGGAACGGTGTGTTTCAGTTCTATGAATGAAGAAATACCAGACTAACATATCCGATAGAAACCGCGTTCCAGTGCATGAAGGTTGCGTACGATGCTGGAGTCAATTTCTTTGATACGGCGGAGGGATACGCCGGCGGGCAGTCGGAGGTGGTGCTCGGTGAGGCGATCAAGAAGTATGGGTGGAAGCAGAATGACCTGGTGATTTCTACCAAGGTGAGCTTTCAACATCTCCCCGAAGGAGCGCAATTACTGACTGGCACAGCTCTACTGGGGTCAAGCCAACGGCGTCAACCCCGCGAAACCCCTCAACAACACCGGCCTCTCCCGGAAGCACATCATCGAGGGCATGAACCTGTCCCTGCAGCGTCTGGACCTCCCATACGTGGATATCGTGTATGCCCATCGCCCAGACCGCGACACGCCCATGGAAGAAGTGGTACGCGGATTCAACCAGCTGATCTCCACCGGCAAGGCCTTCTACTGGGGAACCTCGGAGTGGACAGCGAGCGAGATCTCAGACGCATGGCGAATCGCCGACCGTCTGGGCCTCGTTGGCCCCGTCGTCGAGCAGCCGCAGTATAACCTGCTGGCGCGTGAGAAGGTCGAGCGCGAGTACCGCTGGCTCTACGAGGCGCACCACGGATTGGGCCTGACGGTGTTCTCGCCTCTCAAGGGCGGTGTTCTGACGGGCAAGTACAATGATGTCGAGGGTCTGCCTGCGGGTTCGAGACTGGCGGAATCGCAGGATAAGTATGTGCAGGGTCTGCGCAAGACGCTGGAAGACGAGACCTGGAAGCGCCAGCTGGCCCAAGTTGCCGCGCTGCAGCCGATTGCTAAGGAGCTGGGTATCTCGACGGCGCAATTGGCGCTGGGCTGGATTCTGAAGAACCCGAATATCTCGTCGATGATCACTGGTGCGTCGCGGCCCGAGCAGGTCCTCGATAATATCCGCGCACTGGCTGTTGCGGACAAGTTGACGGATGAGGTGATGGAGAAGATTGAGAAGGCTGTGGGCAATAAGCCTACTCTTGAGCCTAGGCGGTTCTAAGTTGAGATGATATAACTAGTCGTATAGAACATGCTTGGCTAAGAGTCGTGGATATACTTCTCAAACACATCAGCGTAGAATCTCCTTCCCACATCACGATGACTGCGAATTTTTGTTCGCAGCTGTGACTCTCCCCAAGTATCATACCGACCACGAAGGAAAGCCGAGTCAATGCTGGCTCCCTCCGCGGCTTCGGTAGAGGAGTCTTTCCAAGCAGCGAAATGTTCTCTCAATGCACCAAGGGCTTCATCTTTGGTCAAACTTCCCCGGACGCCCTGGAAAAAGGGCACGCTATATCGCTCGTACGGACCCGATAGTACACGGTGCGTTGTAGCTTTGCAGACACCGTGTGTAACCACCTCAAATGCCTGGCCAATATTCACGACAAATGTATCTTCAATAACGGGGACGTCAATCCAGTCCCCGGTTTTATTCAGGGCTTGTAAGCCCTTCACTTCGGGGGGCGATGCTTGTAGGAGAAACGTCCACCACCCTGACGAATCCTTATGCGGACCGACGCCTTGGTCAGTTGGAGCGGAAGGTTCAGAGGCAGGGTAGTGGACTAGTTTGAGGCGATGCTGCTCTGAGAGAAACGGAAACAAAATCTCCGCGGGCAGGGAGAGGGCTTCGGCGACAAGTGTTAGAAAACGCTCACTGAGTTGCGTCAATTCGTAGATGTATCTCTGGACTATAGCTCGGAGTGCTGCATCGTTGGCCGGCCACTGTAGTAACTTCAGTAAAGAGACCACAACGTTAGTATGGGATCTCAAATACCTGGTTGGGTCCTTTGAGTCGTTCATATAGTGGAAGTCCTTCACGCCAATTATCGGGAAGCTCAGTTGCAAACTCGAATTGCTCCCGTTTATCCTCGACCCCGCCGGTGGTCTCGGAGCCGACTTGACTGTACCCGAGGAAATGGGGCGAGTTGTGCAAGGTGACCTCTTCTTTTGTCGCTGCATCGAGGGAAAATAGGGCGGGCAGTGCGCCTCTTAAATCGGAAATGACATTCTGTGAAACGTCGTGGTTGGAGACATACAAGAAGCCAACGCAGGTGATGGCGCGGCGAAGCTGTTTCAGGAGCTCCGGCCGCGTTAAGGGCGACTTGGCCAGGCCGAGGTCGAGGACCGGGATAGAGTGAAAGTTCGACGCCATGTTTCACTGCATACAAATGTGGGAGATACACCTCTTCGTTTACGCAAGTGATCGCGATAATAATGAAGACGTCAAGCGTGGATGGCGCAACTCCATGCGGGGTACCATGGAGACTAAGTCTATCAAATGACGAATTGTCAAGAATAAACCCACATTAAACGCACTTCCCACCATCCACCACCATCTCTGTCCCATTGATGAACCGTCCTTCGTCACTTGCCAGATACAGACACATATTCGCAATATCATCCGCCTCCGTCAGCCGGCCCAGCGGCACATTGCCAATGAACTTCTCCCGGTTCTCGGGGGTGTCTTCCATGCCGGTGAACATGGAGAATAGTCCAGTGCCCGAGAGAAGAGGCGCAACACTGTTGACGCGAATGTTATGCGGACCGTACTCGGCGGCGAGGCCTTTAGTAGCCTATAAGCTAGATTAGCTGATTTCGAACTGTGCAAAGAGGTAAGTCACTCACATTGGTGACGGCACCCTTGGAGGCATTGTACCACACCAGACCCGGCCGTGGCCGAGACGCTCCTGTCGAGGAGATGTTGACTATTGATCCACCTTGGCCTTGCTGGATCAATCGTGGTATGACTGTATGGGCGGCGAGGTAGATGCTCTTGACGTTAACCTTGAAGACGCGCTCCCACTCGTCCTCGGTCACTTCCACCGTGGGCTTATCATTCGTCAGCGCTATTGATCCTTCGAATGTAACTCAAACCAACCTTATTGCGATATGTAGTCCCCGCATTATTGACCAGCACGTCCAGCCTCCCAAATTTGGAGAACGCGACGTCCAAAACGGTTTCCCAGTCGGCTGCTTGGGTGACATCCATGCGCTGGAAGATGAGGTTGGTCGGGTTCTGGGCTGCGACCTTCTCGCCGCCCTCGACGTTGATGTCGGTCACAATCACTTTGGCTCCTTCTTCGCTGAAACGGCGCGCGATGGCTGCGCCGAAACCTGAGCCCCCACCTATGCGGGGGGTTAGATGGGGTATACGCAGAGTGGTGGCTGGTGTACCTACCGGTGACAATGGCGACTTTGCCCTGTAGTCTGGAGCCTTGTTGAGCCATGATTGAGAACAGAAAGGGTTGAAAGAGGGTGTCAGGGAAGGTTCATGAAAATGGAAGGAGTTGTCCGAGGTAAATGATTGACGTTGGCGAGGAGGGGAACTCGGCGTGAATTCCGAGGGGAGCCAACCCACGTAAGGTAGTTTGATGTCTCCATCCATCAGTAATGGTCGTTGTCGTCAATTGCTGCTGAACGAGGCCGTCGTCATGCGCTATATGGATGAACATTTATAGACTAGTAAATAATAATCCCTGTAGCATTCTGGACTGATTCTCTAGACGCTGCCAACATCTAGTCCCCTTTCTGACCCGACCAGCTGCTGCAGACCGCATCCCTCCTGCTACGGCACCAGACGGCCTTCGGTCAATGTACTCGCACGCAATCAGACTGCTGTCGGGCGATCCATCCTGGTGTGCCGGTGACGATTGTCCGTGCGGCATCTGGGGCGATCTTGAACACGGGTATAGTATACTCTTGGAGCAGAGCTTCGGACGTGTGTTGGTTGTATAGATCGGAAATATTTTCTAGCGGCTAATAATATTCTGGCAGCTTGACCTTAGTGTAAACAAGAAAATAGACCGTGGATCCATTTATCCGCCCGGCAATTATTCTTCCTCCACACCCTTGCCCGCCTTCCCTTCCCCTCCGTCAACCCACCACCGCCATGATCGTGACCTGTACGCCCGGCCTCCTTTCCTAAGTCTTCAATGTCTCCATCCTACTGGTCCATCTGTCCTGTCTCCCCATGGACATTCGCTCGGTGGTGGCACCCATGAACGTGTCCGAGTTACCGCCGTCTCAATCGCAACCCCACACCGCGTCGGAGCCCAGGAAACGAGTTCGCCGCTGGCACCACCGAGGCTTCACCGGCTGCTCGATCTGTCGCCGCCGCCATGTCCGCTGTGATGAGGCCTCGCCCGCATGCAAGAACTGCACGCGGCTCGGCCTGGATTGCGATGGTACCCAGGGCCGCATGACGTTCAAGGTGTACGGGCCTTCGCAGACCCAGGACTCACCCTCCCAGCCCCCGAAGAAAGGGAACAAGCAAGATATAAAAAGGGAAGAAGACGGCAGCAACGGAGTCGTCGTCTCATCCACCACGCTGCCTCAAACCACCCAGTTCCAGTTCGCCCAGCCCGCCTCGCCCGCAAGCCTAATCGCAACGACCATTCAACGCCGCGACGATCGCTACTTCACCCATTTTGTCGACCAGGTCTCGACCCTCCTCCTCATCTACGATAACTCCATCAACATGAATCCCTACCGCAGCCACTTCCCCGACTTCGCCCGCACCTCACCGTCCCTCGCGAACGCGATGCAGGCATTGGGCGCATTGCACCTGGCCAACACCTCGCCGGGACCGCAGCGGAACACGCATTTCCAGCAGGCAATGGGGAAATACGGCGAGGTCGTCAAGACATTCCGCACGCGATACGTGAATCCGGCGCAGCAGCTCGGGCTATCGGACTTTGCGACATGCCTCTTGTTGTGCTTGTTCGAGGTTGGTGGGGTGCCTGCTGCGTCAAGACAGTGAACTGACCATCTGCAGATGATGGACTCCCAGCATGATAACTGGGCCGTACACCTCCAAGGTGCTCGCGAGATCTATAACCGTCTCTTCTATCCGCATACCGGCGACTCCGCCCGCGAGGTCCACCGTGTCGCCGAGTCCAACCACCCTCTCCGCTCATTCCTCGTCTCGCTCCTTTCCTACGTCGATGTGGCCGGCGCCTGTGCCACTCCCGGAGGCACCGTGGTCGAGGGGAACTACTGGAAGACCTTAGGTGGTGGGTGGGAATACAATCTGGGGACACCGACATTGTCCGGGTCGTCCACGCCCGAGAACCCGCGCCTGGTCGAGCTGCGGAATTCATGGTCGGGAATGATGGAGATTCAAGCCTCCATCAGTGTATTCGCCCGAGACAAACGGTCCATGTCCCCGGACCACCAGGATCAAGTGTACAAGGATCTATTTTACAAACTGGTCGCTTGGCGAGCCACCACGCCCATTAGTCTGCAGCAGCTCGGCGAGCTGGACGATGACAGTTTGGCCAAGTACCCGTTCCCCGATGTACTCGAATACGTCGGATGCATCGAGGCGTACGAGAAAGCGACGTTCCTCCATTTGCACCAAGTGGCTGGCGCCGGTCGTCCAGGCTGGATCTCCGACCGCACCTATTTGGACACGCTGATTACTCGCATCCTCACGTTGATCCGCAAGTGTTCCAAGGATGTCGGCCAGTTGGCGGTCTTGTGGCCCTTGTTCATTGCCGGCCAGGAAACGCGAAAAGAGGAGGAGCAGGTATACGTTCGGAAAACGATGCATGAGCTCAAACGGTTCGGCTTCAAGGTACGTGCTGTTTCCTCTCTGCTGGGATTGCCCGCTGACTCGTCGTAGAATGTCGACAAAGGCATCGAGTTCTTGGAGAAGGTCTGGTTCAAGCGCCGGACATTTCCTGAAGGGTGGACCGAGACGCTGGACGAAATTCAGTCCAACATCCTCATCCCTTAGCCTGCTCGCGTCAATGCCTGCGCCAGGCTTCGTATATAGTCATCCCGTCTGTTACACCCCTGTATATATCCATGAGTGAATGAATGAATGAGTAATTATTAGAGATACTCTGATGTTTCCATGGACCGAGTACATTGGCCCGATCCCACACGGCGACTCCACCGGCTCCACTATATTACCCTGAAAAGCTCTGGCCTCAAAAACTTGCCCGAAGGCTAAAACCAACCGGCAAATCTCTGCGCGGACCAGATCCCTCCGGCGTCGTTCATTGTTGTCTATTTTTTCTCATCCGTTGAGGTCTGCGGTCCGAACTGTTTTATCTGATCCGATCGGATCAAGACTGGAGCGCTTTTCTGTGCATCTGTTCGCTGTCTCTCGCTTTTTGGACCGGCTGCAAATATGGCTTCCGACGACCTGGCTGTCGGTCGCGATGAACTAGTGGTTGACGGGGAGGGTGAAGTTGACCGAAGCGACACCGAGTCGAAAGAGGATGCAGCTTTGCTGGTGAGTTGGGATTGGACCAGGAGGCAATACAATTGCTAACACGACTATTTAGCGAACGATGGGCTACAAGCCGGTAAGTCAAGAGTGCAACCATTTGCGCGGCAGGCTCTTGCTGAGTCCGTAAACAGGTTCTTCACCGGACGTATACCTTGGTCGAGAACTTCTCAACCACCTTTGGTACGCTTTTGTTTCTCTTCTCTCATTCAATCCCCACCCCGATCTAACATGCCTCTTCCTAGCGGCGCTCTACTTCGTCGGTGGAGTGCGCGTCACTTTCAGCACGGGTATCGCGGCTGGGGGTAATCTCGCCTACTGGACGAGTTACCTAGTCACCATGGTCTTCACGTTCATTACTGCTGCCGTCATCGCAGAGGTGTGCTCGGCCTCTCCGTCAGCGGGCTCGATCTATCTCTGGGCGGCTGAGGCGGGGGGTCCTCGATTTGGTCGGCTGCTGGGATTTATTGTTGCTTGGTGGAGTACCACCGCTTGGACCACGTTTTGTGCTAGTATGGGTCCCCTGATAAGGAAGCACTTGACGGAATCGCTAATGGGGTTATAGGCAATACCCAAGCTGCGGCCAACTACATGCTTTCAGTGAGTGTTCTGGCGGGCATATCTGGTTCACAACTGACATGGTTGCAGGAGTTAACCGTGTTCAAAGTCGACTTTCCCACTGACACCAGCAGTATCAAGTTCCGCGCCGTCCAATGGATCTGCACGGAGGTGCTGCTCGCCCTCGCCGCGCTGTTGAACTTCCTACCTCGTACGTGGACATTTGAATATTCCTTCTCCAGCCCTTGCTCACCCGCCCGTCTAGCCCGATTCTTCAAATGGGTCTTCTGGCTTTCTGCCATGATCGTCATGCTGGACTTCGTGATGAACGTGATCTGGTTGCCCATCGGAGCCCATGACACCTGGGGATTCCGCACGGCTCATGAAGCCTTCATGACCACCTACAACGGCACCGGCGCCCCTGCGGGCTGGAACTGGTGTCTGTCGTACCTCGCCACCGCGGGTATCTTGATTGGATTCGATGCGTCCGGCCACGTGGCGGAGGAAACGAAGAATGCCTCGGTCACTGCGGCGCGAGGCATCTTCTGGAGTACAATTGCTAGTGGATTCGGTGGGTTGGCTACCATTATTCTGTTCTTGTTCTGCGCGGTGCGTATACCACTTTCCTACATATACCGGTCCGTATCAAGTGCTAATCTTGCCGCATCATAGCCTGACGCCAACACTCTGCTGGGATTCGGATCCCCTCAACCGTTCGTGCCTCTCTATGCCGTGGTTCTGGGCAAGGGCGGCCATATCGTGATGAACGTAGTCTGCATTCTCGCTCTGTGGCTGGTAAGAATCATCTTCTCCATTCGTCCGTTCGAGCCACCCTGCTAACATCACCCTCAGAACACCGCCATCGCCATCATCGCAGCCTCCCGCCTCGTCTTCGCCGTGGCCCGCGACGGCGTGCTTCCCTTCTCGGGCTGGGTGTCCAAAGTGCACGCGGGCCAGCCGCGCAATGCAGTCATTGTAGTCTGGGCCGTCGCGGCTTTGATCACATGCACGATTCTCCCCTCGAACGTGGCCTTCACGTCGCTCGTCTCCGCAGCCGGCGTGCCCAGCGCCGCAGCCTACGGACTGATCTGTCTCGGTCGGCTACTCTGCACACCGAAACGGTTCCCCACGCCGCAGTGGAGTCTGGGGAAGTGGAGCAAGCCGTTCCAGTTTATCGGCGTTTTCTGGAATGGATGGGTGGTGGCCGTCTTGTTCTCACCGTATGAGTTCCCCGTGACGGGGCAGACCTTGAACTGTATGTGTCTTCTGGTTTGCCGGAAAATTGACTAATGATTCCTAGATGCCCCGATTATCATGGCTGGGGTTACTATCCTCGCGCTGGTCTCGTACTTCGTTATGCCGGAGGATGCGTGGCTCCCGCGCGACCGGATCGCGCGGTTTGTTGATAGCAAGGGTGCGGCGGCGACAGTGGAGGAGGTGGAAGAGCGATGATGTACGATGGGGTGATTGCATTGACAATGCTATCGTGGATATACGGGAATAAATACATAATAGTCCATACATAGAATCGATTGACCGGTCTAGCGATAGTATAGCACACTCAGTCCACTGTGGGGAAATTCGGCTCGGCTCTCCCCCGCGTTTTGGAAGATCCGATTATCGGATAATGTTTTAGCATGAAAGCGTGTGTAGAGGAATCGTTATAGAATAGTAAGACTGAATGAACAAGGCACCGTGCCATCGTCGCAATCCTACCTTGGCTCTTCCCCTCTTCTTCGTCGTCCTCCTCTTCCTTTTCCTTTTCTTCCTCCTCTTCCTCCTCTTCCTCCTCTTCTTCCTCCTGTTTCTCCGCTTCGCCGAGACCAACCGCCCTTCCACCCTGCACACTCCCTTCCTTCTTACTCTCCGGCTGATCTCACGCTCATCCAACTCCTTTCCTCACTCTCTTTATTTTCCTCTCCCTCTCCCTCCCTCACGCGACACAGCCCCGGCCGATGTGGTACCACTGCCCCCTTCCCGCGTCCTCGACCCAATAGATGTGAGACTCCCACTCGTCGCGGTCTATTCGCCCTCCTTCACCATGAGTGTCCCGGTGCCCCTGCGGTCGGCGCTGGGGCCGTGTCTCGCGGCCCCCGGTGCGCGCGCGGGGAAGTTGCTCTCAGTGACGCATTCTGGTAAGCCGCCTCCGCCCTGGCCCAGGGGATCGCCGTACCATAGTGTCCTTCGCTTGCTCACCCACGAACCCAGTGTCTCAAATTCGTCGGATCCCTTCCCTGGCCCGCTCGTTCAAGAAGCCAGTCTCGGCTCCGTTGCTCCCCTGGCCCATTGTCTCTAAGCGCGCTGCGTCTACTACAAGCGCCGAGCCAAAGCCTGACGCGGTCCCTGCCACGCCCTACTCAGCATTGACCGTCGGCGTTCCGCAGGAGACCTACCCGAACGAGCGACGTGTGGCGCTAACCCCGCAGAATGTCGCTCTGCTGCTCAAGAAAGGGTTCTCGCGCGTTCTCGTCGAGCGCGGCGCTGGCGAGGCGGCCCAGTTGCTAGATGACGCTTACGAGAAAGCAGGCGCGACCGTCGTCGACCGCAATGCGGTCTGGTCGGAGAGCGATATCGTGCTCAAAGTCCGCAATCCCCAGGTGGAGGGTCCCGTCAATGAGGTCGAAGCTCTGCGGAAGGGCTCCACGGTCATTTCGTTCCTCTATCCCGCGCAGAATCAGGCGATTGTCGGTGCGCTCGCGGCGAGGGGTGTTTCGGCTTTTGCTATGGATCGGATTCCTCGCATCTCGCGTGCTCAGGTATTTGATGCCCTGAGGTATGCTTCTCCAGCCAATTACAGTCATTGGACGAGCTGACCCAATTACAGTTCTATGGCCAATATCGCGGGTTACAAGGCGGTATTGGAGGCGTCGAACCATTTCGGCCGCTTCTTGACTGGTCAGGTTACTGCTGCTGGGTAAGACTGCCTTTGCAATTGATGATGTGGAATATACTGACCCGCTCTTGCAGAAAGGTTAGATAAGCTGGTGTAATCACTGTCCTGTCTTGTACTCACGCTTTTGGTTTAGATCCCCCCGAGTAAAGTCCTGGTTATCGGAGCTGGCGTGGCTGGTCTGAGTGCAATCGCATCAGTATGTTACACATTCATTCAAAGAGACACCTTTATTAACCTCGCATAGGCCCGCCGCATGGGCGCCATTGTTCGAGGCTTTGATACCCGCCCCGCTGTTCGCGAACAAGTTCAGTCACTGGGAGCCGAGTTCGTTGAGGTTGATATCCAGGAAGATGGCGCTGGCCAGGGCGGATATGCCAAGGAGATGTCCAAGGAATTCATCGAGGCCGAGATGAAGCTGTTCATGGAACAAGCTCGCGAGGTCGATATCATTATCACTACCGCTCTGATCCCTGGAAAACCGGCTCCGAAGCTTATCACCAAAGAGGTAAGACAGAAACAGCAATGGCAACCTTCGGAGACTAACATCGGCACAGATGCTAGCGGCGATGAAACCTGGCTCAGTCGTTGTTGATCTAGCCGCTGAGGCAGGAGGTAACTGCGAAGCCACTGTTCCTGGAGAATTGTCCCGCTACAAGGATGTCACCGTCATCGGATACACGGACCTGCCCTCGCGTCTCCCGACTCAATCATCGACACTGTATTCCAACAACATTACCAAGCTCCTCCTGTCCATGGCACCCCAGGAGAAGTCGTTTGGAATTGACTTCAAGGACGAAGTTGTCCGTGGCTCGATTGTCACTCTCAATGGCGAAATTATTCCTCCGGCTGCACCACCCGCTCCCCCTCCGGCTCCGAAGCCCGATGCACAGGCAGTTGCTGCCAAAAAAGAGGAAAAGCTCGCTTTGACCCCGTGGCAGAAGGTTACTCGGGATGTGACCGCCGTCACGGGTGCAATGGGCACCACCCTCGCTCTTGGAAAGGCAACTGGCCCCATCTTCATGAGCAATATGATGACTTTCGGTCTGGCTGGCTTGGTTGGCTACCGTGCTGTGTGGGGAGTTGCCCCTTCTCTCCACTCACCGCTGATGAGTGTCACCAACGCTATCTCCGGTATGGTCGGTATTGGTGGTTTGTTCGTTATGGGTGGCGGCTATGTCCCAACCACGCTACCTGAATATCTCGGCGCTGCCTCCGTACTATTGGCCTTTGTCAATATCTCTGGTGGATTTGTAATTACTAAGCGCATGCTGGACATGTTCAAACGTTTGTCGTCTTGTTCCCACTTGGAGCGACGTCGCTGATGATGTTCACAGGTCCAACTGATCCTCCGGAGTACCCATGGCTCTATGCTATTCCGGCTGTCGTGTTTGGCGGCGGCTTCATTGCAGCTGCGAGTACTGGAATGGCTGGTCTGGTGCAGGGTGGATATCTGGTCAGCACTATTCTCTGCATGGGTAAGTCATGATCTTTCTGTCGTCGTCGATTTCCCTAAATTAACATCTGATATAGCCTCTATTTCTGGTCTCGCATCGCAGCAGACAGCTCGACGCGGAAACATCTTCGGTATCCTGGGTGTGGTTTCAGGAATCCTTGCTTCACTCTATGCAGTGGGCTTCTCTTCTGAGACCCTCACACAGTTCACGGCCGTTGCTGGAACTGGCGCTGTTGTTGGTAAGTGCGTCCTAATCTGTTGGTTGTCTAATCTAACACCTGCCAGGAGGACTGATCGGTCGTCGAATCACGCCTACTGGACTTCCCCAGACAGTGGCCGCTCTCCATTCCGTGGTCGGTCTGGCAGCCGTGCTGACTAGCATCGGAAGCGTGTTGGTGGACATCTCGGACATCACGACCTTACACTTGGTCACTGCCTATCTGGGTGTCCTCATTGGTGAGCTCTATGGTCGCGATTTTTCGGCGCATTACTGACTCTGTGCAGGCGGTGTCACATTTACTGGCTCGATCGTTGCATTCATGAAGCTTGCAGGGAAAATGAAATCCACCCCAAAGGTCCTTCCTGGTCGACATGTAATCAATTCCACGCTGCTTGGTGGTAACCTTGCAACAATGGGAGCATTTATCACCATGGCGCCAGCGAACCCGGTTATCGCTGCGACGTGCTTAGGTGCAAACACCATTCTCAGCTTCCTCAAGGGCTATACCACGACAGCAGCCATTGGCGGTGCTGATATGCGTATGTTCAATTCCTTCTCTTCCTTACAGTATAGGCTAACTCCTTCGAAGCTGTCGTCATCACGGTGTTGAATGCCTACTCAGGCTTCGCTCTCGTTGCTGAAGGCTTGATGCTTGACAACCCACTCCTAACCAGTGTCGGCTCGCTCATCGGCGTCAGCGGTTCTATTCTATCTTACATCATGGTAAGAGAATAGTCAATCCGTCTCCAATAAAAAATTGCTAACACTTCCAGTGCGTTGCAATGAACCGGTCTCTTACAAACGTCCTCTTTGGAGGCATTTCGGCCCCAGCCCAGAACCAGAAGAAGATCGAAGGCGAGATTACCCAGACCAGCATTGACGAAACTGTGGAGTCACTTTCTGGTGCCGAGAGTGTCATCATTGTCCGTATCATCCTAACCCCACGAGGTGACCCGTCTAACCTTCTCTAGATTGTCGGCTACGGAATGGCTGTCGCCAAGGCGCAGTACGCTCTCGCCGAGATCGTGCGTATCCTGCGCGCTCGCGGCGTGAATGTGCGTTTCGCCATCCACCCCGTCGCAGGCCGTATGCCGGGCCAGTGCAATGTGCTGCTGGCTGAGGCTTCGGTGCCGTACGATAGTAAGTGGTCTGTCATGGCTTTTAGCTACCCATACTGATTGTACTAGTTGTCCTGGAAATGGATGAAATTAACGAGGACTTCTCCGACACGGACGTCACACTCGTCATCGGCGCTAACGACACCGTCAACCCCATTGCTATGGAACCCGACTCCGCCATCTCTGGCATGCCTGTCCTCCATGCGTGGAAGAGTAAGGAGGTTATTGTCATGAAGCGCGGCATGTCGAGTGGATATGGTGAGTTCTTCCTTGAGACAAATGTCCAAAATTGCGAATGCTAATAGCATTCCTTTCTTACAGCCGATGTCCCCAACCCCATGTTCTTCATGCCCGGCACCAGGATGCTCTTCGGTGACGCCAAGTCTTCTTGCGATGGTGAGTACTCTTCCTGCAACTCCTTCTTGAGTAATGCTAATCACGGTATTCTGTGTAGCTATCAAAGCCGCGCTGGAGACCCGGAAGTAGACTAGACGTCCGCTAGAATAGGTCTTTATCGCAAGATCGCGTGCTTTCTTTGTGTTTATTGTTTTGTTTTAGTCCTGCTCTTATCAGACAACTAAGTATATTGTTGTTCTTTGATTTGCCCTACCCGATCTATCTACCATCATTGACATTGTCTTGTCTTGTGGCTTGTGATATATGTTTTTTGACTGCTAGTTCATTGCGCAATATACCAGAGTTATTTAAGTCCATGTCTCATATGTAGAAGAAACATTGGAACCAAACAGGTATAAACTCTACAGCTTGGTCTAGACAAGGAGGGGTGGATATAAGGAACGTATCATTTTGATTCTCGTATTTGCAGGTGAACCATCTAGACACATGATAACTGCAAGCTCAGCAGTCAAAGACAAAGGGAGATCCGTCGCAACAGGTTTCTTCAATAAACACCAGCCAGCGCTGTAATCTGTCAATCTGGATAGAAAACACTCCAACACCAAGTCAAGAACAAAAGTTTTTGTTAACCAAACCAAGACAAACACCCCCAGGCATGAAAAAGAAAAAAAAAACCCCCCACCCCCCATAACTCCAATCAATCAAAGCCAAATACCACAATACTCCCCGACCCATCATCCATAGAGACATTACCGATTAATGCGTAGCATAACAAAAAAAAAAAAAAAAAAAAAAAAAAAGAGTGAAAAGCAGCAGGCTAAGCCCGACGAGGCGATCTGGGCCCAAACTTCAACCCCAAGAATCCCCTCCCACTAGGGATGGAGGTACTATGTCTCACATGGCGGCGATGGCTGGATTTGCGCATGAGACTCGATTTGCGCACGGGGCGGGGATCAAGCGGCGGCGCGGGCATCATGTTCAAGATCGTTTCGTTGGAGTGGTAGATAGGGTTTGAGTGGAGATGCAGGTTCATGACGGATTGGTGGCGCAGCTGCTGGGTTTGGGGGTGGAGGTTTGTATGGGAAGCAGATGCGTGCAGGGATTGGTTGTTGTTGGCAGAAGGGGAGAGGTTTGCTTCGGAGCGGAGGCTGTTCATGGAGGCGGTGCTGGATGCGATGGAGTTCTTTCGAGTCATGCGGCGCATCATCAGTGGGGGGCGGCTTGCCAGCAGGTTCAGGGTGCGTTTTGAGACGGGGAGGGAGTGCAGGGAGGTGCCGTCTGTGTCGGAGGCTACTGTGAAGGGGGAGGACTCGCGAGATGACGAGTAGGATGACGATGGCACGCTGTTGCTGCTTGAGCTGCGGATAGACGGCGGGCGTCTGCCTGGCTCTGTGGGACGGCGGTGTCGTCCTGGGTTTGGGAGCGGCTTGTCGGATCCAGCAGTTCGCGGCCGGGCGTGGTGCATGTATTTCGATAGCGGGCGAGGCGAGGTGAGAGGGAAGTATGGGATGAGAGGAACCTCAGAGACCCGTCGGATGGCGGCAGAGTGAGCGATGGGAGTGAGAGGCGTCCCTTCGTCGATGGTTGCTGGGGGTGATGGAATCGTGCGTGGCAGTTTGAGCTCGTACCCTTCATTCAGACGCGGCGAATTGGACTTGATGTCCGTCAATGGTGAAAAGAGACGGGACTCTCGCCTGCGGCTGGGTTCTCGCGAATGAGACTGGCTGGGACGGGCTCTTGATCCCTTGAATCGTTGGTCGATGAACACCAGCGTGGGCCGCGTGGGTGGCTGCGTGATGGTGATCTGCTTTGCGACCTGGATATCTGCGTCTTCCACAGAACATTCAGACTCTAGAGAAGGCGACCGGGGCCGCGAGTGCTGCTTCGGTGGGGAATTGGGCGAGATATAGATGGTTGGCGGCACGAAGATCTTGGATGCAATCCGAGCAGGAGGAGAGCTGAGCTCCAGCACCATGTCATCCTCTGGGTCGAAGACATCGACGAAGCCGGCATCCCGGTTTTCCTTGACGGTGTCAACGGAAACAGACCGCTGCGGCTTCGCCGGGGTGGGTGCCAACAGATGATCATCGTCGCTGAGGTCGGAGTCAAACGACTCTGCGGCTGGCTGCGAGCCGATGAGCGGGGGCAGGTCATGCCATCCGGCATCGGATTCAGATGCAATCTCTTCGTCGGACTCGTAGCGTTTGTGCATGCTTTGATGGCTCAGACGGTGCAGATCCAGCGGAGTGGTGGATTTGTCCATCTTGCCGGGCGGCTCAACAGCTTCGGAGGTTGGGCAGTAGGTGATCATAGTATATAGAAAGAAAGAAGACTGTCACGGACAGGAGGAGAAGAGAAATAGAAAGACAGAGACACGAAAATGAAGGAGAAACCAGCCCGCAGTGAACGAAGAATGCAAAGGGCCAAAAACGAAGCCCTAACAAGCACAAAATACTTACACCCACAGATCTGAGACTGCAGAGAATGAATGGTCTTTCCCTGTGGCACGAACCCGGGAATGAACCAGTCTTTTAAGGGTATTATAATGCCCAGCACACGTGTGCCAAACATGTTCTCCTTCGGCGCGGTAGTGGGATTGGTCCCTTTGGCCCTGGGCTAGGAGGCTTCAAGGAAACCCTACAAAGTCACCCCCCTCCAGGAGGGCATCAATGTGATTGGGAACGCTGGCCCTTGCTTCAGACTAATAGGGTTAGTAGACAGTTTCACCATGGTCGCGTTGCGCTTCACCATTTGAGGGGAACTATCCTAGCGCTGCAACGGGGATGGGAAGGAATCTGATGAGTCGCTGTGAGCTGTCGTTGGCTGTGGAGCATGCGCCTAACGCTGGTCGACGATCTGGGCTAGGGCCGTTCATTGGGCGCCAATCACCCGCAGGCTCTAGCCTTCCAGGGGTGATGATGACTGGGTGCTATCTTCTGGTCCAGACAGTCGCAGCCAATCCTTTGCTATCAGCTGGGATAATAATATCGTAGCGCCCAGTGGAGAACTCCCCCGGGTGGGGGGAGGAGTATGTTTAGTGTCAAACACACCATGCCGACGAACTCCTTTCTGACAGGGATGTGATGCAACAGGCTCTGATCGGCAGTATGTCAGTGCACCGTCCTTGCTGAGATCAGGGCAGTTGAGGCACTCAGGACAATCAAGGATAGTTGCCCTAGAAGAAAAAAAAGACAGGGGGGAACTGACTGCTCCTCAGGGGTAGGGGTATAGTGACTAAGGGGGCCAAAGGGAGCCAACAAAGGGACTACGAGGATGCACAGTAGGTATCTCTCAGGGCAATAGGGGCTGGCTACTGTCTACAACGATTAAAGAAAAGCAGATCAATATTTAGAGACAGGCATCTTCATTGCCAAAACCAGAGCTTGCCCTAAGTCAACCTCAACCACTCCCAAACAACAAAGAAGAACCGGAGGCTCTGTTCTCCTTGCATGTCACAGATTGTGCTCAGTTCGGCGAATTGTTCTATCCTCAGGAGGCTTGACGCTATTGTTTCGATTATTTATAGCAGGTTACCTCATCAGCCATGCTCTGCAGCCGCGCGCTGCCTCTCTGCATATCCATACATAGAATACAATCCGGGTCGACCAGCCGAGGCAAGGAACTCGACCGTGACATGAAGCCCAGACGCTTTACAGCTTAGCAGCACAGCTGATCATCCACGCCACCGTGGTCGACGGGGCAACTGCTCGTTCATCAGAACCTCCTGCACCTCTCAAGGTCGCGCATGCTTGCCAGAGCATGGGTTGTCAGCAAGGCACCGTCGATGACGGGCGATCATTAACTGTCCAAACTCCCTACCCGCACGCTATTGACAGCTTTGGGCATGACGATCCGGGAGATTGACGGATCGACGCCATGAGGCGGATGGGACTATCGGTTTGCATGCACATATAACCCATGGTTATCCCGTCGGATCATCCGTCGATGGTTTTTGTTTCCTCGACGACCACGCTGGGGGGTGGTTGTTTTCTTGCCGTGATGACCCATGTCACTGATATTCCCTCTCTCTTCGATGTCGGTTACACAAGACTTGATGCGCGGATCGACGGGATTTGCGGGTTATTGATTTATTAAGTTCAACGTTTCCCTCTCAACTGTGCTTTGTTTTGTTGTTGTTGATATTAGGACGATGTGGCCCTCTGTCCGGGGTTTGAAGGGTTCCCATCTTATGGACTGCTCAATCCTGATCTCGATCTCGGCTCTCAACTCCTTCAATCAAATGTTGCTCTCCCTCATCACATCGCTAGCAGCACTACACCTCCATCAACGGCAGCAATTGATTACGTTTAATTTGATTTGCAGCTAACCTCTATCAATACGAGCTTTCCTAACAACATGGCGAGAGGTACACAGAAAAAAAAGCCTGCAACCAGCAGGCACAGAGATAACCACAAACATGAACAGAAGAAGAAAGATAACATTATAGAATACAACCAGGGGCAGCTAAAAGCGGCCCCGGGTGAAGGGAAATACCTCGATGCCTTCCCGAACACCTCCCTCCCTCGACAAATAGCGTCTTCAGCGACACGTCCGCTTGCCTGCAAAAATACCCAGGCACATACCGCATGAACCACCAGGCTATCGACCTGGTGTCGAGAAAAAGGGGTCATTCATTAAACAAGTATATGGCTGTCTCCCACCGGAGATGGATCACTCTGCCATTCAGCACCTCCACACTTCGCCTGCTGCGAAGGACTCCAACTTTTCTGTCTGCATTTAATTGCGCCAGATTGAGCCACTTACGCCTTGCGAGAGCGTGTGACAGGGCCGTTCGAGCGGCCGGTCGAGACTGCGGAGCCGTTTGAGGGCGTGGCGCTGCCATTGCTCTGCGCACCCGCGGGAGGGGCGGGAGAGGGGACCTCGAAGTTCTTCATGTCGATCAATGACTTCTTGCCGGTGTTGCGGCGCGGGCGGCCGACCTTGACCTCCTTCTTGTAGGTGGCAATGTAGAAGGAGATGAACAGGAGCAGGTAAGAGGTGATGATCGCAATACCAGCGAAAGCCGCAAACTCCTCGCCCGCGCATGCGCCCATGTTGGGCGCCCACGGGTAGTACGTGGAGGTGAAGTAGGTGTAGGAGGCGAAGTAGATGAAACCTGCAACCCGTCAGTATCTAGTTGTATACAGTTGATCTTGTGTCACCTACCCAGATCGATGACGAACTGCACAATCTGCAGGCGAGTGATGTACTGCTTCCACCAGATGCGGATGCCGCGGGCACTCTGGAAGTAGTACCAGTACATAACCACATGGACCAGCAGGTTGATGGTGATGGGCACCCACTGCACTGCTGTCAGGCCGATCAACTGGGTGTAGCAGAGGAGAGCGGTGGCGCCGTGGTGATAGGTGTGGAGGAAGGTCAAGGGCTTCTTCTTAAGGAAGAGGAAGACGGTATCGATCAGTTCGAGGTATTTGGTGAGGTAGTTCAACTGGGGGGCAATGTTAGTATCATCAATTGATATTCAATGGCATGCTACTTACGTAGTAGAGCACAATGAGGGGCTGGGTCCATCCACCCTGGTGGTCACAGATCGCGTGGAAGACGCCGTGACGCCAGATGGTCGGCAGCAGCTGCTCGATGAACAGGGCCAGCAGGGTAGCGCTGATGGCGGTCAGGTAGAAGTTGTGGATCATGAATAGCGCATTGAGCTTGAGCGGGCTGCATTTCTTCATGATCTCACGGCCGCCGAAGATGACGATGTAGTAGGTGATGAGCATGGTCGCGGTCTCCTTGAAGGTGGACATTGGGGTGACGCCCTCCTGGAACTTGAACTCGCTGGCGGGGTATCCCACGACGACCTCGAAGGCCTTGTCGAAGATGGGCCATAGGTGGATGCCGAAGGGCCGATCGAGGGTCGGCAGGGGCACGTTCTGAAGGAAGTCGGCCATGGTGGGCAGGTCGGTTGGGTTGGAGCAACCGAGGCAAGGATGGGAAAGGGGAATTGAATTGGAAAGCCCAAGCACCTAGTAAAGATCAAGGTCGCGAGGGAAGATGAAAGAGACCGACAAGAAAGGAAGGAAAAGGAAAGGAAAGAAAGTCTGACGGGGAGAAGTGGAAGGAATGGACGATGTGGAGGGAAAGGGAAGGGAAGGAACAGCGCGACTTTTTTGACGGATGGGGGGCCCGAAGGGGTTTAGCGTGACCACAAAAGGGGGTCAACACATGTTACCGAACGAGTGAGTATTGTTGAGATGGAATGGATGGACATAGTAGTTGGTCAGGAGAGATTGGTGATAACTCTGGAAGGCAATTACTATTTTTGAAAGTAAAACAAGAAAAGAAAGGAAAGGAAAGGAAAAGCACCGGATGGGTTGCACTAGACGGATGATCCTACTGCATGCTGTGAAAAGGCCGAGTCAATATGTTCCGGCTGGGTAGACTCGGCGGTTCTATAATACTATCATCGAAATAGAATAGGAACCCTCACAGGACCTCGATATTCAATGAGATCGAGTGTGTAATTCCTGGTGCAAATCCAATGCCATGAGCCGTGGATATATATCCAGGCACGCATCTATCAACTCTATACACCACAACCACCCCATTCATCGAGACACGGAATTATGTTAAAATAGACAAGAACAATGACAGTGAGTACTGCCTCTCTCGTCCTTTTAAAAAGATTAGAATGTCATCACCACCTCATACTACCCATCGAACCCCCGACCAATCACAGCCCACACAATCCGTGACGGACACATCGGGAAGCTGACTCATCTCACCGCCTCAGGCATCCAACTCCCACGGCAAAATCCGGTACAGTCTTTCGTCCTAACCTCCCTGCTACTCTCTCACTCCCACCACCACCTCTCCCCTCCCCCTCCTCCATTGATCCAGGTCACCTCTCTCACAATGGCATCCCTGTCCATCTTCCGTGTTGCGACGCGTGCCGTCCGACCTGCCAGCTTCTACCGTGCTCCCCAATTGACCCGGTCCCGGATGCAGGCCCCGGTGGCTCTGGCGACCCGCTCCTTTGGCACCACCCCCAAGCTCCGCTCCGGCCACGAGGATGAGACATACGAGGAGTTCTCTGCTAGGTATGATTGCTGTTCGCCGCGATCGTTCTCGGAACTACCGCGTGCCTTCAACAAACTGCCCCGGACTGCCGCTTGTGGGCTGTGACGGAGAACCAGTGTGCTGACCGGTGCTTGTCAATTGCAGATTCGAGAAGGAATTCGATGGTGTCCAGGACGTTTTCGAGCTCCAGGTAAGCAAAGAAGTCTACCTCGGGATGGACGGGTCGATCTTTGCGCTCTTTGCGATATCTGGCTTGAATCCTCCACGGGCATC